GTGGCTTAATTTTCTGCTCTTTTACTAGCAATTGAGCATGGGAGGAAAACTTGGACAGTCCCCCATAAGTTAAAACACTACATTTGTTCAATTTCTCAGAATAGAAATCATGGAGCTATTTTTACTTCCCTTGATCATTCATATTAAATACATCATCATTTCTGTTGAATTAAAATCCCCAAAATATCTTCTCTGTCATTTACATCCATTCTTTCTACATCTACTTCATTCCATGCAGTCATCTCCTTGTAGAGAAGAAAGACAACAACAAAACCCTGAAACACAAAAGCTTCATCGTATGTCTCATGTTTTCCTCTGTTTCTAAATGTTTCCTTACATGTCAACCAGGCAGGTCCTTTCACAGTCAGTGACATCCAAGTTTGCTAAGAGAATCATTCAGGCCCCATTATAGAAAGGCCTTATAGAAAGGCCTTTTATAACCTGGTTTCCACTTACTCTCCTAACCCAATATTCTAATATTCTTGGCCCTACTTGAGAACAAGAAGGGTACCAAAAACCTTTCATTCTCAAAAATCATATTAATCCATTGTCTACTTTTTAACCTTTTATTTGCTTGCTTGTTGAGTTGGTTTCATTTTGTTGGTGGTGTGTTTGCCCAATAATAACTTTTCTCTTACTCCTTCCCTCCTGGCACCCTTTGCTGTCAACTTGACTTTCTAGGCCTTCATTTCCACACAGACTAGATTCCTCTCCTATTGTATTTTCTCTCATGATTCTACTAAATTATCCTGCAGTATTATCATTTATTCATTTTATCTTTGCTTCTCTGTCTCTTTATTTTGCTTGGTTAGAAGTTAAGTAAATGAGGGCAAATTTTGGCTCCAAATCTTGTTTTAGGAACCAAATATTACTCCTTTTGCATAACACTGTATTTGCACACTGGTATAACAAACAGTTCAATGAACAACTCTGGAAATGAAGTTTTATCTTTCTGTTCCTCTATTTGAAATACTCAATTTGACATTCAGTTAATAAAGCTGGTGATTTTCAGGCTGAGATACAGATCATCTGAAAATATCACTGTTAGGGAAAGACACAAGTTTCACCTAAATGAATATGAGTTTCCATGTTTTCTTCTCAATTTTAAATATTAAAGTTTGTGATAAAAAGATCTTATTTTTCTCTTGCGGATATTGTAACTACTTATTTATCCTTAACCAAATAACAAGATGTATTCAGGACAAGCTGACTCTTAATACATAGTATTATACAAGAAAGCCCCCAAAATGGACATACCCAACAGCTGAATGACTAAAGATTTGAAGATGTGGTTTGAATTGTGACTTCATCAATTATTAGTTTTAGTTATTTTGGACAATTCAGTGCATCTTCTCCCAGCCTCATCTCTAGCAGAGAAATGATGCCTGCCTTGAATTTCTCTGTTTCTGTAATAATCTTATTAAGTACTGTACATGAAGATATTTAAGACCACAAAGATTCCAAAGCAATACAGAGAAATCCTGTCTCAACACCCCCAAAAGACCACAAAGGACTCCAGTAATATGAAGTCCTTCGACAACCTTGCAAAATTGATGACAGTCTTTTGTTTCCATATCAGAAAGGTTATGGAAAAAGGTCTAAAGCAAACACACACACACACACACACACACACACACATACACATATATATATGGTTTTTATATATATGGTTTTTTGAGATAGGGTCTCTTTGTGGCTTTGGAGCCTGTTCTAGAACTAGATCTTGTCTCATAGATGAGGCTGGTCTCGAACTCACAGAGATTCACCTGCCTCTACCTTCTAAGTGCCACCTATATTAAAGTATTGATTATTTGAGATTATGTGCCCTCAAAATTATTATGTGTCCCTTAGATAAGCAAAAAAAAAAAAAAAAAAAAAAAAAAAAACTGGAAAGGACATGATTCTTAAACTATCTTCCTGTGGCCAGCTATGTAGTCCTATAAAGCCATACAACTGTGTTCAAAGTGGGCAAAACACAGAAGGAATGGCTTTCTACTTCCTTTGTGACAAAGTCAACTTGGTGCCACTTCTAAACAGGAACAACTATGTCAGCATGATATGGTCTGACTCATCAGAAGCCGAAAGAACTCTGCCCTTCAGAAGTCCATTCCAGCTTCTCTCAACTGTCCTGCTCTTCCCACCTTTCCCCTTTGCTTCCCACTCGGGACAATGTACAGGCAAGAGAGAGGAGTTCCTGGAGGGATAAAGAGAAGAGAAACATTTCAGTTCCCTTTATCTCCCCACTGCAAGCTGTGCCGCTGAGTTAAAAATACATAATTTGGTTTCCAAATCTATTTCAACCTCTGCCTGGCCTACTGAGTAGTCACAAACCAGCCGATTTCAATTCACTTCTTTGCTTTTAGCTTTATTTTAAATGGAACAGAGCTAAGTTGTATAAACAGATAAAAAGTAAATGTCCCACAAAGAGCAGAAATGGGATTAAAGGTAGCAGGAAGTCGATCCATATTTACAGTGTACCTTGGTCAAAATCTGAATGGTTTTCATCTTATTTTTAAAATGCCAAACTTTCCACAAAGTATAAAATGTCATGTCATCGATGGGATGAAAGTTGAGGCATATGTGATAACAGTAATGTTTCCATTATTTTAAGTAGTTCACAATTAACATTTCATGTAAACAAATAATCCACATACCGCAGGTGATAATTACCACCCTTCTGTCACATTTGGAATACTACTTGTTTACAGAGAATGGCCCAGTTCTGAAAAGTCAATTATCTGAACACAAATACTCATGAGCAGAATGAAAGACACCTCTGATATTGTGTTTTGTGGTAACTTCATTAGTAATTACTGGGTGACGCTCAGTGTAGGATAACTGCAACCCTGCCCTACAAAGGTTTAAAAAGATGGCCAGGTGAGTGATGTCAGTCATGATCACTCAGTAATGTCAAGTAAGATGACTGAAAATGGCCTGGAGATATTTAGCAGCATTGTAGCTGACCAGAATCTAGCATTCATGTTATAGTCTACACAGTGTTAGGGGGAAGAGCACATGATGAAAACTCTCCTTGCAGCAGATTCCTTTCTTCCTTTTTTATTATAAGTTGTCTTACAGCCAAGAGAACATATTTTTACTTTCAACACTTACTAATAAAGTCATATAGATCCAGCTATAAATTGTGCTTCATTTATGAATATTTAAACTACATATTTTCCTTACTTTTATATTTGAAATGTGAATCTTCTGGGAAGATAAAGCCTCTTTTATTGACATAATACGGTTTCAAGTGGTAACATACCATCTACAGCATTCTCCACAAAACTATTTTTGACCTGAAATGATAATTTCCTCGTCACCTATGAGAGCTCATACATTGACAAATGATTCACTTCTCTAATGAAGTCTCTTTTCAGATTTGCATGAAGGCAAATGTAGTGTGGGCAACCTATACCTGGAGAGACAACATGGAAAAAATCAGGAGAAACTTCCATCTTTCCCATCCACCTTTATCACTGTCAATATATAGAAACCAAAGGAATTCTCTCAGTTCTCATTTGCTATCAATCCAGAAAGGAAATGGGTTGGAATGCAGGAGACCAGATCACAGCCTATCAGTAATGTGCTATATGTCCATTCAGATTCTCTCTTGTCTTTAGAGCCCTCATTTGTGTTGTCTTCCTGAGACTCATCTCCCTATTTGATCCAAGTCTACTTTATCCCACAATTCTTTTCTCACTCTGTCCACAGTTCTTCTACCTCACATCCCATGTGTTCACCACTCCAGGATCCTATTTTATCTCTTCTCCCACTCTCTCCCTCCTCCACAGCCTCAATTGAAGGCTTAGAGCACCTCCCCCCCCCCCCATGCTTTAAGTTCACCTTTTACTCATCACTCAGTGTAGGACATCATCTCAGTCTACTGGCTTTGTCCTGTAAATACAAAATGCTACCTGGGTTCAAATCCAAAAACTCAATTTGAATCAGCCTAACTTCCCAAATCTGTCAACTGGGGATAGCAACAGCTTCTTGGAGTTGTTGTGAGAGTTAAGAATAATGTACATTTAAATGATCCAGTTAAAATTAGTTAAATAAGCAGTAATAATGTTTGTTACTTTTGCCATTCTTATCATTGTAAGCATATTGGCTACTTTAAGTCTGAGGCCATCTTGTTTAACTCATTTACAATAGAAACAGCAGGGACTTTGCATTCAGAAGAGGGAGCCAAGCAGAATCTTAGCAAGTCACTTTTCCCTGATGAAATGGACTGCTGGGATATCTGAGGTGAATTCTATCTGATTTCGGTGCACCCAATGCCTAGAACCAGGCTTGCCATATAAATACCCATTGAATATACAAAGGAAATATGGTAAGAGAACAAAGTGCTGTGAATGTCTCTCTATTGCGCACTTTACAGTTACTGATTGATGGAGGAAATAAAGCTAAACCCTTCTGAAGTATTAGAGGAGACATGTAAAAGACCAGCACCCCAAAGATAGTGAGAAGATAGTAGGGAAAGACTGGGTTCCCCAGAAGAAAAGCCAGCTTCAGCTTTGTGCCCCAAATTCCTGTCTTAGGTGGAACATTAGGAGAACCTTTGGCAGAGGGATGGACGTGGAAGGACAGAAGACCTGAGGCCAGCTGCCTTCGGTGCAACAATGTACCTGTGCAAAGTGGACAGACTCAAGGAAAGAAACTCCAAACTCAAGCTCAGAGAAGCCAGGCAGCCACAGTGTAGCAGCTGAGTTCATTTTTGACTTTCCATTCTCCCCCACCCTGCAGTCAGGTCTCAGGAGGTAATTAGTGTGGGGGAGGCCAAGCTCCTGAGGGGGCAGGGAGATGGGAAAGTACGGGTGGAGGCGGTCTTCTTGTCATAGGTCTCACTGAGGAGGGGGAGAGAAGAGGGGAAAGGCGCTCCAGAGAATGACTGGTTTTCATTTTTTGCACGTGAGGCGTACCTAATGATATTTCCACAAATAGACAAGCAGACCAGAGACGGACACACAGAACACACTTGCGTGTTTTGAAACAATCCATACCCCCAAATCCAGGACGCAGCCTGTTGTCATAACCATCCAGCAAACTGTCCAGGATACGGGTAAAATTTTCCGGGCACAATTTCTCGTCCTTTGCGTTCTGTCCTGGGGATTCGTTTAAACTGCAAGTACAAAAAATAACGGGGGTGGAAAAGACTATTTTAAGAATGAATGTGAGAACAGGTGGAAAGGGGTTGCCTTCTAGGGATAAGAGTCACTGGCCTTAAGCTAAAGGAGTGTTGGGGGTTGGGATGTGGAGAATCAAGATTGTCAGGAAAGGGCACCCCTGTGCAGCATGCACCCCAGGCTGCAAGTCCCCTCAGGGAGCCTGTACCCCAGAACCCGCGCTTCCTGCACGCTACTGTCCAGTGCTTTCCAAGTCTACTCCGTCAAGGGGAAGCTTGACTTCAGCCCATATATGATACCGAAAATGGGAAGATCTGGTTCGCTCAGGGAAGGATGAGGGGCTAGAGGGGTGCTGTGGATCTGGACACTTGTCCGCATTTCCAGTGCACACCTACCCTACGAACCCTCCCACCCGCCTCCCACCACCCACCCCTCACCCTCCACCCCCAAGAACTCACCAAGCCGCCTGGCACAGGAAGTGAAGAAGGGCAAGGCTGACCCCAGAGCACAGCGCGATCGCGGGCACCTTCTGGACAGAAACCATCTTCGCAACATGCCATACTTTAAGCCTGTTCACGTTTCCAGGCTTTCGAGATGCCCTGTGCAGGGTGCGAGGAGAGGGCAGAGAGGCTCCCGCGGCGTGCGCACACTCGCGCTCACACTCGCCCGCGCTCACACTCGCCCGCGCTCCGCCAGCCCAGCCGCGGTGGGCGTGTGTGTGCACGCGGCCAGGGGAGGCGGGACCTGAGCGCCCGCCCCCTCCCTTGCCTCTAGCGCCCAGTTCGAGCTCAGCTCCGCACCTTGTCGCTCCTGCACGCGTTGCTCACCGGTGAACTTGGGAGCTCCTGCCACGCGAAGCTAGGCAAGTTTTTTCCAACCTGTAACTCAGGGGACACGACCCACGGTCGTTCATCCCTGCTTCGGGTCAGCGATCCCACAACCCCAAGTAGGTCTCTGGCTGCAGGACAGGCGGACTTCTCTTTTCTGATTCCACTCCTTTCACTAGCGTTTTGGCTGGAAACAAAGAAGCGCCTTTCTTATAGGTTGTATGAGGGCTTGTCTGTGCCCACTGCAGAGAATGTGGGTGGAGAAAAGGGCGGGATGACTGCGTTTGTGGGGCGTGGCGGTTGGGGGTAGTGAGGAAGTGAGGTGAACTCTGTGTGGGGTACCTCTTTGGGACCTTGCCTTCAGGGGCCAGGGCGCTCTGCTGCTTAGAGACTAAGAGGAGGAGATATTCTTCCCAGTAACCTGGGTGAACTTCTGCCAAACTGTTGGGAAGTTACTGGAGAACACAGCCAAGGCATCTGTCAAGATACTGTTTTAAAGATAACAGATTTTCTTACTTTGCCCAGCCCCACTCCACAGACTCATGCCCTCCCTTGCCTCTCCACCCAGGAGCCATAGGGATAGAGACCTTAGACCTCTTGAAACGTCTTTCAGAATGGAACTGATGGAATTCCAGAAGTTGACAGCTTTAATAAGGAGCCAAAGGTGAATAAGAAGGCAGAAAAAGGCGAGAAAGAGAGGAAGGAGGGAAGGTGGAAGACTGAAGGGGGAAAAGGGTTGGAGGAAGGGGGAGAGGAAGGGAATGAGGAAGGGAGGGAGGGAGAGAGGGAGGGAGGGAGGGAGCCAGAGAAAGAGAGACACATACACAGAGGTATTGTTTCCTTCACAACTTGAGAGGGAACCCTAAGCAGGATACAGTTAATGTTTTATGGAATAATGACAAATATTTCAAACAAGCCTATTAAAAACACTAATTATTAGTCGAGAGGGGTGTCTTTTATATTAATATGGTGCACACTACTATTCCATATGATGGTCAGTGGCATAAGTAATTTCCATAATACTGGGTCCCTGGAGGGGAACATCATTGTGTTCTGTTTAGAGTGCTAATGACTTCTTCATTTTTTTATGACTAGTGGACTGCTAACATATGGAAAACTAGAAAAGTTTTGGGATTTTTTTGTTTAATTAATTTAATCTCCTAATAATAATATTTTTCTTTCCAAAGGAAAACAGTGTAAATAACTATGAGCTCCCAAGGAAGTCTGCATTCTGAATTGCTGGCTTGTGAAATTTATTAGACTCCCATCATTCCATCTCTGACATACCCCTCCTGTGGACTGTAATCTCCTTGAGTCTCATGCTGGGTGTTTGTCATTCATCTGTGTATATCTCTCATTACAACACAAGGTGCATGGAATATCAGTAAATATAACTGGAAAAATAAATCAGTGACTTCCTTAGTCAGATATCTGTCTTATGAACTCTGGTGAAATTTAACACCTGTCTTTTAGAAAAATAATGGAAGAATTCCTACATAATGCAAGCATGGCATGAAAGCATTATCCATGCACACTCTCCATACATTGTATATAGCAATATATAGTTATTACTACAGTAACTACTGACCAGCAATGAGACTGCTATATCACACAGTAGTTCAATTCCTAATGATTTCCATATGGTTGTATCAACATACAGTCTCAGCTACAATGTATGACCCTCCCCTAATCCATGGTCTTTAACAAACTGCACCCATAAGAATTCATGATATCAGTGGATACTATTGTCTAAGCAAACTATTTTGCCATGAACTTAATTGTTTTGTAAATATTTAAAAATGAAATAAAATTTGGACAATGCTTGCATCTTAAAAACATCTGTACATAAAATTTACAAGGTGTCCGGGCATTGGTGGCACACACCTTTAATCCCAGCACTTTGGGAAGCAAAGACAGGTGGATCTCTGTTGGAGGCCAGCCTAGTCTACAGAGCTAGTTCCAGGACAAGCTCTAAAGTAATACAGAGAAGCCCTGTCTCAAAAAAAAAAAATTTACAAAGTCAGCATTTTAGGGATTTTAAATTATTATAGATAGTACATTTATCTATAATTGAGTTTGTCACTGATACATTGCTTTTGTACTTAATGGTCTCTAAAATCCCACAGTAATTCAGTAGGAAACACTCTATTTCCAATATTAACTTTGTTATAAAAATTGTTATATAATTAGAAACCATCTTATTTTTATTTTACATATCAATCCCAGTTCCCTCTCCCTCCCATCTTCCAATGCCACCCACAACCACTATCCATTCCCCAGGGAGGGTGAAGCCTTCCATCATCAAAGTCTGTCATATCATTTGTGAGAGGGCCTATGCCCCCCCCTGTGTATCTGAGAGAGTATCCATGGGGAATGGGCCCCCAGAGTCCATTTGTTCACTAGGGATAAATACTGGTTCTACTGTTAGAGGCCCCATAGACTGCCCAGGCCTCCTAGCTGACACCCACATTCAGAAGGCTTCCTAGCTGACACCCACATTCAGGAGGCTTCCTAGCTGACACCCACATTCATGAGGCTTGGTTCGGTCCAATGCTAGTTCCACAGCTTTACAACTGGGGTCTGTAAGCTTCCACTTTGTCAGGTCAGCTGTTTCTGTGGTTTTCCCCAGCCTGGTCTTGACCCCTTTGCTTATCCTTCCTTCCTCTCTACAACTGGATTCCAGGAGTTTGGTTCAGTGCTTAGCTGTGGATGTCTACTTCTGCTTCCATCAGCTACTGGATGAAGGCTTTTGATTTATATGAAAACCCAATGTTTTCTAGAAATAGAAAGAATACATTTTAAAGGCCGGTGAACTCAGTAGCAGAATTGTCAAATAGTCTGTCTGCTGCTTAGTAAATGGTTAATAACAGAGAACAATTGTTTTACTAGATCTTGAGTAATTAAATGGCTTCACAGCAAGTTTAGAAGTTGTAATGATTAATTTTCTAAAACACCATGACCAGAACAACTTACAGAAGATTGATTCTAGGGGAATATAGTCCATAGTGGGAAAGCAGAGAGTTAGCAGGCAGAGCTGGAAGATGAGAGCTCACATATTAAACCTCAACTAAGAAGCAGAGAGCTATTTTTGAAAACTGAAAATGACATGTCTTTAGACTCATACCCACCTCTAGTGACATACTTCCTCCTAAACATCCCAAACACCACCAACTGTGGACCAAATGTTCAAATGCTAGAGTCTATTCTAATTAAAACAACCAGAGAAGTACTCTAAAAATTCATAGTTGTGTGTATGTGTGTGTTCTATACAGTTCACATAGAGTACTGTCAAAATAAATATTCCCTTAATCGTGCTAGTAAATTCATGTGGTATAGATGTATATGAAGAAACCAATAACTAAGTCATGCATAACTCAGTGTCAAGTGGCAGTAGCTAGTGGGGAAAAAAATTAAGCACCATCCACAGATACTGAAAAAAATTGAAGTTGTTGTCAAGTGGCTATATAATAAATACAATTCTGTATCTTGTATTAAGAAATCTGTTTATTTTACAGACAATTAAAATGCCCCAGTTTGTTCAAAGGGAAGCATTTAGAATATTTTTATTTGTTAATAGTAGAAAATTATAAACAAATCAGTATTTAGTGTTGGAGTTAATGAGGAATTATGCTGTAGTAGACATGGGGTGCTATGATATAACATTTGCTTCAATTATAATCTGAGGTTGGGTTATGTAACTTATTGTTTTGGAAGCTTAAAATTCCAGTAATATAGCCTTGACTCTAGTAAGGATCCTGTTAGCTGCATTACAACATGGTAAATTGTATCTTGATAGGAGCTTATTAGCAGGAAGGTCACATGTTGAAACAGGAAGCCAAAGCAAACTGAGGACAAGCCAGACTTACTCTATTTTTTTCTCACTCTGTCATAATAACTAAGTTCTTACGAGAACTACCTTAATCTCTTTGAAAGATGATGCCTCTAATAACCCATGTCTTAGAATAGGCTCCTCAACTTTTCAAGGTTCTAACAATCTTACACTCCTGGGGACCATATTTTGAACATACAAAGTCTTAGCAGTTCCAACTAAAGATTATACTTGTTAAGCAATTAAAATGAAGAAAATAAGATCCATCCACCTATAGATATTTGTCATAACATATGCAAAATAAGACACAGAAAAATACAGCAAAATGTTCATTTAAAATTAATAAAGTGAAAAATAACATTGTAAATTGTTCGTGGGCATAAATTGAGCAAATCTGCATGGAAAGAAAAACCACAAAATTTTAGATAGGAAGTATCTGGGAAAAGAAAGAAATGAATACTGTAAAGTGAGGATCATTGCTTGCTTCGAGTATATAATGCCTTCTTTCATTAAAATTTAAATGTCTGAAGGAAATATGGAAGATGTTAACCTTCTGCAGATGCAGTAGTTAGGACTTAAACATTCAGGATTTCCTGTTTTTATTGTTGTTTTGAACAACTGTTGGTATGCAGCAAAGCAATAGAAAACTTGTGTGTTAGAACAGTGATTTTTGATGGGTTCTCACAGCATTTATCATGTGTCTATGACAATTCTCCATGGAGGTCCCTCATACTGCTGTAGTTAATCAGTGGCACATTTATCTGTTCAGGGTAGTCAACATTGCTTTAGATTTACATGAAGGACACCCAGCTGGGCTACCTGAAACAGCTGGGGAGGGGTTGGTTATTATTTGCATCACCTCCACCATTTCTCTCTCTCTCTCTCCTATCTTAATTAGATTTGACTTCCTTACAGGATGATGGTCTAAGGTTAGAGACAGTCCTTAGATATTATGTGTCCTCCCCAACAGTCAGGATGAAACTGAGAACTTCTTAACAAAACCTTCAAAACACATATCATCTTTCTATTGGTTGAAGCAGGTTATAGGGTCTAATAGATTTGTGCATAAAGGATTCACAAAGAGATAACTATTGAAGGATACTGGGTGGCCATCTTTGAAGAACACTATGA